GTCATTTTGAAATCTGTAGCTCAAAATGAGGGGGGCTGCGTGAAGTTGGCCCCCCCTGTCTTATTTCGCTTATAGCGGGCAGGGAAATGATTTGCAAATTCTGAAAACCAATTTGCAAATATTTGCAAATTATTTGCAAAATGAGTACATAATTTTCAAAAAAATCGGTCATGGTGGGGGGGCCAACTTCACGCACGTATATATGTGTATGTGATCAGTGATCACTATTCACTGATCATTTATGTAAGTTATAGACTATATACATAAATACTTAGATAACTATACGACAGTGTCCGACTTGGAAAAAATAAATAGTTTGTATAATACTTATGTAATATCTACATAAAAAATATTTTTTGTAAATAATTATAATAATTTATTATTTTATATATAGCTACGTAATGTTAATAATATAAAAAAAAAAATTGAATTTAGAATTAGCTGATAACAATAATTAGTGTGCGATTTATGCGTATGTTTATTTATTTATTTATTCATTCATTCAAAGTAATTACAACTAAATAATTACAATAAAAACACATTAATAATAGCTGATACGTATACATACCAACTGAGCTCGTATCTGGTATACGGAGTTCAACGATATTAAAATTCGTTTTATACTAAAAACGTATACAAATAAAAACATGATTTGATGAAATAAACATAGCACAATAAATAGATACTTTAGAAACAAAATTTAACATCAGCATTACATTTAGGTACATATTATACGATATTATGTTTAGACATACAAACATTTTATAATTGTATTGATACACCATATTATACATATTATCATCAAGATCACTTACCATTTTATTTTTATTAATTATATCATTGGTATTATTGTTTTTACTCTCACATAAACTTTTCATTCGACTCTTTACTTCGTTATTTAAAATGTTGACAACAGTTTTCCTCGTGTAATTGAGAGAGTTTCTAGAACTAGTTAATAAAGTATATGCGGTTTAATGTATTTTCCTGTTCTTAATGTTTTTTTCTATCTATTATTTCTGTAACATTGAGCGTGTGGTTTTGTATGGATTTAACTAAAATTTGTCTAATATTTAATTTATAAACAGATAATATATTAGTATGGTTGAATAATTCCTCTAATGGTAGAGAGTATTCTACTTTTACAATAATGTTTAGTGTCATATGAAATGTATTAATGTCTGTTCTGTTAGTGCCTCTCCGATATTATGTTATGCCATATAATAGAATAAAATTACACAGTGCCATGTATACATTTGTCTTATAATTGATTTATCAAGAAATCAAATTTTGTAAAATAATACAATAAAGCTCTTATCGTTTTAATTTTTTAATGTTCTGTATGTGTTCTAACCATTTTAGGACCATAATTAAATATAAAACATTTTGTAAACAGCATATGATGATGTATGACAGAATTGAAGACTGCATGCAACAAGAATACCTTCAAATGTCTATAGCACATTGTGCATTTATACTTTTTAGATTTTTGGATTTCAGTAAAAACGACTTGTATATTTATTGATATTTACTATTCACTATTATTATTTTACTATTATACTACTACTACTATTATTTATTATTAGTGAGGAACATTGTATTACACTTTCACGAGTTAACTATAAAACAGAGTATTTTATAATTATACATTTTTAACTACAAAATAATTTTCGTAGTTTTGTCAATTTTGTGATCATGATATTTATTATTTTTAAACTGCTACTGGAACAACTTATGTAGGATCTTGTATTCAATTACACATATTTTTATAGATCCTAAATGTTTTTGTCTACATTCAAAAATTTCAAATATCTTTAGAGAACCTACTCTAAATATACATATTTACAAGCGTGTTTATATTTATCTTCACGTCTAATAAATGCTAATATAAATATTTGGTAAAATGTCCCATATTCTACTAGTGCATTTCTCATTATTTTGAAAAATACTAGGAATTTTAAGCTATACTGACCTCTCAAAAGTAACTAGATCCAATTTTCTATCAGAAACCAATCTCAAAGTTAAAAATCAAAGCATTTTTTGTTGTTATAAACCATGCACGCATAAAAAAAATCATATCATCGTAAAACCAATACATTGATTCATCGATATTTGATACATTTAAATGTTTATAAATTCAAAAATACTCGTTTTCCTTTCTCGCTGGCCAAGCCTCACGCTTAACGTATGCCACGAGCCACTGATTTGGTAACTTGGTATTAAAAGCCTGTGGGCTCGTGTACGGTGTACCCGCCATAATATACAGGAGATAAGTTCGTGTGAATAATATATTAAGGTAGTTCTAGTCAGTAAGTCAGTAAAAAAAATCACATTATGCAGGTATTTCTCGACCGTTCTTTAGAGGAGATATATTAGTAAATGTTTAGACTTTTACAATTCAATTTTAAAGTCGCACAAGTATTACAATTTTGTCATGAGGTATGTTTTTACTCGAAAAGCAACCAAATACTTTTCCCTATTTCTATATACTGACATGTGCCTGCGAGTGCGAGAACGCATTAAGATAAGCTGTGGTATGTAGTGCACACACATACATATTGTTAAATTACACTCGCATATATTGATATGACCCGGATGTAATGTCATATAATTTGCCTAATTCTTACTCCTTATAAAATGACCAACTGGAATCACCTTAATACGGGTAATTTATTTATAAAATCAATATAATAAACTGCTATTCAACATCATTCAGGTGTTCTATAATGTCCTTAAATATTTTCTTGTATGCATTTAATCTATAATCCATGTTCTTCTAACTTGAGATAAATGTATCTGAATTCCGAAGTCGGTATTTAACTATTCATACAGTCTCGTTTGGATATCGTGCTCGTACTTCAACTAAGCTATTTAATTTTATAAAGAATCTCGACCAAGTAAGTAGTGCTGTTCATGTGGCATGTGCAACTGTGCAAGAGTCAAAATGAACTTTAGATACCATAAAACAAAACCTAGTTTAGTACCTAATGTATCGACATTCTTCAATTATAAAAACTTTTAGTTGGTAGGTACTCAAAATATTTTTTTCTTTATTATTGTTATTTGCTTGTGTAAAAGATATCAATTATACACCTATATACATGAATACATATTAAATGAGTAAGTTTTAAATATCATACAATGAATTGTGGTTTATATAATACAAATATCAAACAAATAAATTCTTCAACTATGTAATACAATATATATATTATATAGGACACAGTACGGAACAGTTCATAGACGGCCAATGGCCATATGAATATAATTTATTAAATAGATCACACAAATGTCAATGATGTACATTGTACATGTACATAAGCACATAGCTATTTGTTTTCACATAAACTGCCCATTATAATATACATATAACAAGTTAAACACGATTCTGTGTTTAGATTTAAATAATTTACTCAAAAATACATAATAATAAATAAAAGACAATAGTTTAACCTGACAATTAATGCTAAATGTTATGATATAATATTGGATTTCATAATATTAGTACGCTATAAATTGAATAAGTAACATTAAATTGTATATTGCTAATATATTCATGTACCTATATCTTAATTATATAGTTACACACATATATATATAAAATAAATGAACTATTTATTTGATGCAGAACCATGTAATATTATTATGCATAATGCATAGTGTACCTATGTAATACAAATATTTTAGTTTTTTACAACAGAAATGCAATGTATTTGCATTCAATAGCATCATATTTACATCTCTTTTGTTAAATATATGCAATAATAATATTGGCCAGATCCTACGAATTTAATCGGTTAAACAAGGTTTAATGCAGTATTCGTTACTGAATACAAACGGCTTAAATGCTCTAATTTTCCCACATGAAAATATCTGAGTATATTGTCCCGTAGGTTTAAGCGTTGCGTTAGGCATTGTCGTAGGGTAGGCGAGAACGAATCCGGCGTTGGACGATTGCTGTCGGCCCATACAATGAAAGGACCTATATGCTATATAGCATGGCCATCCGGATTTTTTCCATTTTTTTTCGATTTACACGATTTTTACATAATTTTTCCAAGTTCCAATGATTATTTCATTGTCATCTGCATTTTTACTGTAAACATAATCTTCGTGGTGCTTACACTTTAAAATAATTACAAAAATAGTGGGCGTTACTTACCGTCTATCCGTATGATTGTGCCAAATACAATTACCTACATGCGATCTTTATTTTATATGGATAATAAGTGTATAATGTAGGTAATAGGTATATACTACCAATTTAGTTGAGTTTCACTTATAGACGCTGTACGGCGGATCTGCTTACCTGATTAGTTGTAGCACATTGTCTGCGATCCGACGATATCGGATTGCCTACCTGGGTAGCTAACTTGAATGTTAATCGATTTTCACTTGAGGTGACTGAGTTGATAGACACTCAAGCACGGATTAAAATTAAAATTTTTTTACATATGAAAAAGCACCGGACATGCAACGGGGAACTGCATTAAACAATTGCCAATTTTCATAGGCGATGTGAGATTTCTGGACACTGAAACTGGAATTTCAAACATTCCCGCGTTCAAAACGAGACCTCCAAGCCTTATCAAAAATCCTTATCACCTCCGAAATTTTTATTTTTTAACCATACATGACGTCGACAGGAGGGACTTACATAAGTCATTTCAATTTCAACGACTTTGTCGTCTCCGTCACCGAGTCTAACATGCCAAGTTTCACGACAGCGAATTTCCGATGGCAGCTAGTATATTATAAAGTGTAATTATGTTATAACTATCGTGTTATAATTTGTTGATTATTAGAAGATTATATTTGTTATTAAATAATTTATCATAACTGTTCGGTTAAATATTTTAAAAGTACAATTTTTGTCATGAAGCACAAAGGCAAGTGTAATAGTCCAGCTTTAGGAGTAGAAAAACAACAGTTGTGTTTACTCCGACCAAGAAAAACAATAGTGAAATTATGATAAGGAAGCCAAAAAATAGAACTAAGAATTCCAAACCAGTCAATGGCAGTGACAGAAGTTTTCCATCCTCTCTTGATGTAAGGAAGCGCAAGCATTCAGTCAATAAAAGTGGTGAGAGCTCAAATACAAATCGTGGTAAGGGTAACATCAAAGACACCAATGCACAAACAGCCATTACTGAAAAAGATGACGTAGCAATCGCTATCAAAGTAGCAGCGTTTGTCAGGAAAGTATTACACAATGAATTACCCAAAGAGAAGATGGAATGGCCACTATTTTTATTGGTAAGAATTTATATTATCAAAATATATTTGTGGGGAACATGTAATTGGTTTATTAATTTATGTTTGCTTTAAGATTGAATCCAGACAATCGGTCAAAATTTCTCAACAAGATTTTCAAAACATGATAATAAACAAATCTGCTGAAATCATGGCCACCAAATCATATTATGCAAAGCAAATGGATAGTATATCAATTTGTGAAGAAAAACAACAATCATATTATGAAAAATATAAACAATTATTAAATCATGTAAGTACTTTGAGTGCCAAACTGGATCGTCTGAATAGGATGCCTCCCACTGCTGTTAAACATGTTAGAAGTGTTGGAACAAATGTCAATATGCTGTAAACTATAACCATGCCTAAAATTATTGGAATGATCACCACCGGTACTAAGCTAAGAAATTATTGACTACTAATTTGTAAGAAGTTCATTTTTATAAAACTTTTTATTATTAATTGTATTGCTCTTTAACTAAGGTATTTAATTTTTCTATATTATTATTATTTAACTTTGAGTGCAATGCTAAGTCATCACCAGTGTGGGAGAGTAACTTGACTTAAGTTACTGTAACAAAATTACTTTTCAAGTAATTTGATGGTTATTTACGAAATTACTCATTACTTTATTATGGTTTGATACATTAGAATTTATTGATAATGTATGTAAATATTAAAAGATATCATACAGGTATCACAATTCATAATAAGCAAAATTATTCTAAAGTCTGTTATTTTTCTTATAGCTATTAATTATTGGACAATAAAGTGTTATATTTGTAATGGAATTCTTCTTTGTATTGTTTAAAATGAAGATTAATATGTGGCAAAATGGCAAAATAATTTATCATAACTGTTCGGTTAAATATTTTAAAAGTACAATTTTTGTCATGAAGCACAAAGGCAAGTGTAATAGTCCAGCTTTAGGAGTAGAAAAACAACAGTTGTGTTTACTCCGACCAAGAAAAACAATAGTGAAATTATGATAAGGAAGCCAAAAAATAGAACTAAGAATTCCAAACCAGTCAATGGCAGTGACAGAAGTTTTCCATCCTCTCTTGATGTAAGGAAGCGCAAGCATTCAGTCAATAAAAGTGGTGAGAGCTCAAATACAAATCGTGGTAAGGGTAACATCAAAGACACCAATGCACAAACAGCCATTACTGAAAAAGATGACGTAGCAATCGCTATCAAAGTAGCAGCGTTTGTCAGGAAAGTATTACACAATGAATTACCCAAAGAGAAGATGGAATGGCCACTATTTTTATTGGTAAGAATTTATATTATCAAAATATATTTGTGGGGAACATGTAATTGGTTTATTAATTTATGTTTGCTTTAAGATTGAATCCAGACAATCGGTCAAAATTTCTCAACAAGATTTTCAAAACATGATAATAAACAAATCTGCTGAAATCATGGCCACCAAATCATATTATGCAAAGCAAATGGATAGTATATCAATTTGTGAAGAAAAACAACAATCATATTATGAAAAATATAAACAATTATTAAATCATGTAAGTACTTTGAGTGCCAAACTGGATCGTCTGAATAGGATGCCTCCCACTGCTGTTAAACATGTTAGAAGTGTTGGAACAAATGTCAATATGCTGTAAACTATAACCATGCCTAAAATTATTGGAATGATCACCACCGGTACTAAGCTAAGAAATTATTGACTACTAATTTGTAAGAAGTTCATTTTTATAAAACTTTTTATTATTAATTGTATTGCTCTTTAACTAAGGTATTTAATTTTTCTATATTATTATTATTTAACTTTGAGTGCAATGCTAAGTCATCACCAGTGTGGGAGAGTAACTTGACTTAAGTTACTGTAACAAAATTACTTTTCAAGTAATTTGATGGTTATTTACGAAATTACTCATTACTTTATTATGGTTTGATACATTAGAATTTATTGATAATGTATGTAAATATTAAAAGATATCATACAGGTATCACAATTCATAATAAGCAAAATTATTCTAAAGTCTGTTATTTTTCTTATAGCTATTAATTATTGGACAATAAAGTGTTATATTTGTAATGGAATTCTTCTTTGTATTGTTTAAAATGAAGATTAATATGTGGCAAAATGGCAAAATGAGTATCTGTTAATAATTTAATATTGTAGTGTTAGACATGGTTATATATTTTATAACAAGTAAAACATACACCACAACCAAAACAATTGATTTTAATTTAAAATGTAAGATTTGTAATCAACGTAGAAGATTTAAGAGTAATATTGTATTGATTACCAATATTTATGAATGTAAGATTGATATCAACATTTGTTAGATTAAAGCAGGGATCATAATCTTTTGTTGGACATAGTAGAACGAATCTTATTACCTAGCTATCATTAATAATTCTTAATTCTTGCTGCCTGTTGGTAATGTCATATTATAAGATATCAATAGTAGGATAGTAGCAGCTAATAGCAGCCAATACACTTAGGAATAAGGTTGAACGATACTGTAATATTATGCTCAATGTGCTGCATGAATACATTCAAAAAACTTTCAAAAACTGTATATCAGTTAATACATTTGACTTCATATGCATTTTAGCATAATAGCATATTATTATAAAACATTTTAATTTCTATAAGCACTTATATTATTTAGTGCAATGATACATGTTAATATATTATATAATTCTATTTTATCTAAATAATAACAAATATAAAGTACCCACATTTAGTATTCAAATATGTTCATTAGTTAACTACATAAACTTCAAGTTGAAGTGATGAAACAAACAAATTAGTATTTATTCTAGATATGCATAGGTTCTATTAGGTAGTAATAAAATAGAAAAAATATAAATAAATGTTTATGTTGTTAAATTGTTTTAATTGTTGCATTATTGTGTAATTATTTACAAATCTCTGATTATTTTACATATTGATAGGCTTACAATATTTTTTTTGTTCAAATTACATTGTTTTCTAAGCTTATACTGTTACGTGCATCATTAGTTGTTCCAGTACTTCCTCTTTGTATGCTATACAATGCGTACCTACAGAAATTTTACAAAAATATGCTTAATCCTTTGCACTTTCAACACAAATATTTATTAGCAATTAATTATACTAATATTAACTATACTATTTAATAGCAATAGTTTAAATTTCAAATTTATTTAACTTGACTTTAAAAAAACATTACAATTTCATACAATTTGAATTACAATTATGTTGGCTTTTTTTTCTAAAATGGCACCAATTATTTGTTGTTTAAAATTTAAAAAACCCATCTTTTTTTAAAACAAAACTTCATTTACCAGAGCAAGAATAATATAAAAGTACATGAATCGTTCCAACGACAACAGTTGTAACATTTTTGTACTTTGATTGACACAACATTAAAGCATACTGCGAGTAGTATAATATTTAAAATATATTTGTATTTTATACCATTAAGATGAAATGTATTTAAAATGATAACAATAGCTCATGCAAACATGACATTATGGTACAAAATTGAAAATTAGGTATGTTTAATGAATACATTTACTGATATAATTTATAATCTATAACTACCTATTAGTTACAAATTAGTACAAATTTGTCTTATGTTTTCTAATAGCAATAACTATTTTTTTTTAAATTTATTTTTTATAAAGTTGCATAAAATTAAGTGTAAATTATTTAGCAATTTACAATATAAGTTAATTGTTTACCAATATATATAATTGATAAATTGATGATGTAACTGAAAAACATGCAAAAGTAAAATAAAATATTATAATATCCATTAGATTTGGACATTTACTTTTATCAACTATTAGTATTTCCTGATAAAGTAATTAAATAATTTCTAAATTGTTTACATTTATTAGCAAATGAAGAAGAAAGATTATTTGTATACATAATTTGTAATATATATTATATCTAATTTTATGTAAGCTTCTGGCTGCGGCACGTGCTAATTTTATAAATTTTAAAAAAGAATTTACATTGTCAGTTAGTTTTTTATTAGCTCAATTAATTTATTTATTTTTAGTTCTGAACGCAGTTACAAATTTGTTGATAATGATTTAGTCAATACTCAATATTATTCCTAAAGAAGTTGAATTTTAAAACTTATTTCTTCATAAAAATATACAATTACTACATTTTTTAAATTCTTATGCTCCCTTAAAATTAGTTGCGTCAATCCCCCACTAAAGATATCTGTCTAGATAACTAAATATTTAAGGTAACTTAATATCAACTAGGTACCTAGTATAATATAACAATCTGCAATAATAAGTATATTATTTTTCCCAAGTGGCTATAATTGATTAATTCAGTGTACAAATATGTTATTATTATTAACTGATTCACTTAAAACTTAATTAAATCAATAGTAGGTACTTTAGTGCTAATAATTACAAGGCAATCTTTAAAATTATTAAAATTACATTAAATTTGTATGATCCATCTATAACTTTATAAGTAATTAAAAAATAGTAGTTACATAATTGACTAATTTTACTAATTAAATGTAGAAAAAATTAACATAATTGCTATTATGTTAATAATAAAACATTATAGTATTTTAGTAAACTGACAATCAATTAGTTTGTGATTTATAAAGTAGAAAATTATAAACTACTTATTAATTTAAATAAAATAAAATTTAAAAAATTGCATTCAACCATCAAAATATTATATTAAATATAATATACCATCATACAATATTTTATATGTATTAATAATTGCATAGAGATAATTTAGCTTGCTTGGTAAACATTTGTAAAATTATGTTTGTTTCAATCTAAAACTTTTTTTTAATTAGAACTCAAATTTTCTACATCAAATTCACTATATACTCATGAGTCAAGTCATGACACTCTAAAGTATACAAATATACATCAATAAAAACTAATTAATTTACACATTATTTTATTTGTTAAAATTTAATACAGTAAAAAATTTTAAAATTAAACTTTATAAACTGTTGGTTAAATATGTATATTAAAAACTTATTAAGTACATGGAATATTTGACATAATCTAGAACAAAAACCCATAAATATGCACTAAAAACATGACAAATATAAGACAATTATCAAGTTAAAATTAAACAAATATGCAAAAATATCCAATATTAAATTGTTAATTTGAATTCTTTAAGTAATAAAACACATTTCTATCTTACTCAGCATTAATTTAGATTTTTTTTAAATTGTGATGAATTCACAAACATCTACTCCCTAATAATAAATCAACCATAAAAAATTCTTAAAACTTAATTATAAAAAAAACTTCAACATAAAATGCTAGAATAATTTTCTAAAAACTATCCATAATGATATTGTCAGCCAATTTATATACATAAATATATAATCGTCATTATTTTAGATTTTGGCGGAAGCAAAACATGTATTTGGTATTACATTTATGTAATAAACGCCTGGACATTTAACACTTTTCCAATTACACAGAGATCATGTTAAGCTCCATTACTTTGAGTGAATTTACCTATTATGAAACTTGATGGTAAGCATATTGTCTGTGTTAAGATTTTAAGCGAGTTATGAGTATTTTATATTGTATATGTAGACAACCAATTCCTGTGTAGCGCTTTCTTAAGGTTCCTCATTCCTTGTACAATGTTCTTAATGCAATTAAAAAATATCAAAAATAATTATGCAATATTTTAATTTCTAGACTTTTGTGAATATCTAATTGTACAAATGACAAATTTTCTTCTAATAATTTGATTTGTTACATTGTTATTCAAAAAATATTTATTGCAAGGATTTGAAACTTTTCGGCACGGAAAATATAA